CATAGCGCATGCACGTGAACTCGCCAATCTCCGCAGAGATCCTTGTCTCCCACGCAAAAAGGCTTTGGATCAGCAGCGACAAACCAAAAAGCACAGCCTGAAACGAACCATGGCTGTCGGTGCGACTGCTGCTTTGATCGAGACGGGAACTGCACTTCGTGCGCTGTTGTAGTACTCCCACTTTTATACGTAATCGAAGTAGCAGTAGGATCAGTTCATCATAATGATAATAATAAGAACAATGATAAACAAGACTAGAAAAACATAGTAGAAGTCGTCGCTGTAGCAGTAGTAGGAGCAGCTGATGTGCAGCAGCAGCAGCAGCAGCAGCGGTCGAGGTCGAGAAGGACGGCAGGGAAGCGCAAGAGCAAAAGTGGGAGCAGGACCCGGACGACACCTGGCAGTGCTTGGAACACGAACAAGCTCATTAATGCTTGTCTTATCCTTGGGACTGCCAAGAATCTCCTGGATGGCATACAGCCCCTGGAAACGTGTCCAGATCTCGCAACGGCCATAGCTGTACTCGATCCCGATGCAGCCCCAAGTACTTTCACACTTGCTCTGGCAGCCCGACAAAGAGTAAGTATCATTGAAAACCTTGTAGTGCTTGGGGTCGTTGTCCGAGCTGTTATCTCCACGGCAGGCATGGTTTCCGGGACCTGCGACCTCCTCCCACACCCGGTGGTCTACCTCACTCTCGTTCCAGCGGCTGGGACCCGTCATCAAGTTCACCGCGCCGTTCTGAACGATGTGGTAGCCTGGTAAGGCCTCTTCTGTGCATTGCCCCGGTGGCACTGTGACGCAGTGGCAGCTGAAGCTCCCGTAGCCGCTTGCATTGGCACCCATGGGCGAGGGGGTTGTGTATAGGCAGTTGCCGGCATTCGGCACACACTCACCATGCTTGAACCTGCAATCGTCCGGGTCGCATCCCTGATGTGTGCACACTGGGTTATTCGATGCCTGCTCCTTGTAGTCCTGCACGGTGCTTTGGGCCGAACCCTCTTGCAAAAGGCCGCCGATTTCAACTCCCTCGCACACCCAGAACCAATAGAAGTCGCTCTGCATCTTGCGGCGGAGGGCCTTGTGCAAGAAGCTCCTTGCACCGGGATGGGAGCAGAAGAGGAAAACAGATCCCAAGCAAAAGAGCTGGCTATCCGTGGCTGCACACTCCAGCTTCAAGCTTGTCAGCACAAACTATTTCGCCGCAAGACATCGCGCAAGCGCGGCAGTTTGCGAAGCTATCACTGGACGGCATTACAGCTGCGCGAAAAGAACCTCACAAGCATTTCATCCGCCTCGCTAGGAACAAGCTATCCAACTTCAACTGCCTTCAGATCATATCAAGCCCCTGCCCAAGCTCCTCTTCGCCAGCAAAGACAAGCCTTTTGGACACTGCGACGGGCGTGCTGCGGTGTGCTTTGTCCTCGGTCTGAAACTTGGAAGTTCAGGTTTCGGGCTTTCTGAATGGCCGCACGGGGGCTGTGCTAGCGGTTCAGGGTTTAGCATACAGAGGACTTCATAATTTAAGCGACACCCCAAGTAAACTTTTTGCAATGGCTGCCAGATGTCCAAGCCAGCAGCAGCAAAGACAATGCAAGAATCATGGCTTCCGCTGAGTCTGGAAGGATGTCACTCTTTCTACAGCAAGGCTTGCTTTCCTTTGAGTCGCCAAATGCCATTGAGCCAACGAGTGGGCGTTGCGGCCGACTGTTTTGGAAAATGCTGGAAACTGAGGGAAGAATAAATCGTGGCACCGTGGAGAGGAGAATCTGGGAGCGTGCACGCAACTGATCTCATGATGTTCGGACAGGGTGTAAGGACCTCCTCAACTTCAATACAGCCTATTTAAAGCATTCATGATGTTGCAGAGTTAGACGAAGCGGGGAGATGCAGTTCAAGTTTGTATGTGGTACAGCTTCGAACGGAGGCTGATTCTGTGATGTTGGGATTTGGTTCGACATCCTGTCAGAAGCCCCGGCGCCGACTTGCAGGTTCGATGGTACGCAGCAGCTTCAAGATTTTCGAGTCTTTCTCGCTTTTCGGGAACAGGGTTCGGCAGTTGAGACTTTTCGGCCCTCGCAATCTGCAGATGCCAAAGGTGTGATGCTTTGCCACGGATGACAGGCCAGGTCTGCTGACAGCACAGGGAGGAGAATCTGATCTAGCCACGGTATCTCGCAGAAACTTCCTGCCTTCGTCAAGGCCGTGATAGCGATTTGTCCACTTCAGCGTGAGGCTGAGCATCTGGTCCTTGCGTCTGGTCGTTTTGTCGCATGAGCAGAAGCGACTGTCTGATGCTGTCCAGAAGGCGCATGACGCTGGAGCAAATGATCCCTCTTACGGACCGCGAGCTCGCAAGTGGGGAGCGAGAGAGAGAGACTCCGATAATACAGGTGTCTCACTCTGTGCCGCTGTCAGAAGGACTGAACTCAGAAGACTCATTCTTCTCACCCTCCTCCTCCTCCTCCTCCTCGAAAGTGCGGCGACGGTGCCTGAAACAAAGAGCTCCGAAGGCCACTGCGGCAGCGTTCGCCAACGCAGCCCGTCAGAAGTCGCAGCTTGGCGACCGCCTCCCCTTCGAATTCCTGCCAGAAAAGGGCCCAGAAACACAGCGCAGAGAGGCAGCTCAGGAGCTTTAGGCCATCCGTGGCACGGCGCCCGGCTCCCTCGGCAAAGAGGCAGAAGAGGAGAGCGCAAGCAGCCAAGAAGCAGAGCCCATGCTCAGCTTCGTCGCTGGGTGGGAAGAGCTGGCCCCGCAAAGCCACGCAAGCCGCGATCAGGGGCCCGAAGATCAGAACCTGAAGGCTGCGACCCCACTTCTCGTAGGCGTCCATGCCCCGCTTCCTTCGCACCCTCTCGTAGTAGGCCTCGCCTCCCAGCTCCAGGAGAGCCTCAGCCTTGAGGCCGTTGGGAATGCTCAAAACCACGGAGCTGAGGACGTTGAAGCTTAGAGAGAAGAGGTCCAGAGACGTCAAGGTAGGCGTGTACATCAAGGCGCAGATCGCCACCAGAGCGGAGACCGTACCCTCCCAGTATCCCTCCCGGGCCTGGTGCTTCAGAAGATCCATCGTGGCAAAGCCCCGTCGGAGCGAATTGATCATCTCCTCTCCGTGCCTCCGTGGCTTTAGGAACTTTGGGGTTGAGGGCCGCTTAGGCTTTAAAGGGCCCAGTAGTTGAAAGACTTAAGACCAAGGCACTGGGTCTGAAAGATGTCGGCCAAGTTTGGCAGCAAGGCGGCGAGGAGCAGCGCGGACCCATAGTAGGGCTGGCCCTTTGCATAGAGGCTGAGTGCCGAGTAGATGTCCATGGCCGGATCAAGGCTGGCCACAGCCAGGGCAAGCTTCATACTCCAGCGCTCGGCTTGCAAGTCGTTCTGGCTCAGACTTTTGCAGAGCATCTCCAAGAGATCGGGGAAGTCCGGAGCATGGTAGGGTCCCTCTGGGCAGAAGCCTCTTGCCGTCGGCCCAGAGCAGAGAGCGACCTCCTCCGAGTCTGCGAGTTCCCTCTTGTCGCTCCCAGAATAAGCCGCCCTGTAGCCGTTCTTCGGTGCTCCGGGGAAACCCTGCCAGGCGGTGAAGAGCCGGTACCAGCCGATGCAGCCATAGGCAAAGGCCACAAGGGAGGGCAAGAGCCAGCCAGGTCCACCAACCTGAACGGCTTGCCAGATCTCGGCCTTGAGGCAATATCCTGGTAGGAAAGGAAACATCGGTAGGAAGCAGTCAGCCACACGACACCATGCGAAGCATGCAGGCCCGGTTTCTTCGGTCACGACGTCACTTCTGGAGATGTTCTCGCACTCCAAAATGCTGCGGTTGGCAAAGTGCCTCGCACAGAGCTCGGTCTCGGTGGCGCCGGTGTGTCGCCGCAACTGCTCCTAACTTTGTCCAGTTTCGTCGGGGAGCTAAAGGTTAACCTTTCGGCCTTTGGGATTCGACACGGTTTCTCAACCCTGAACCCTAAACCCTAAACCCTGAACCCTGAACTTCAAACCCTAAACCCTAAACTTAAAAACCCTGAACCCTAAACCCTCAGCCCCCCCACCAAACCTAAAGCCTAAATCCTTCTCCCAACTCCGCGCGGGCTCCAAGAGGAAATCCAAGTCCCCGGAGCACAGAACTGACCAAGTGAGGCCCGGAGCGGCTCCACAGAGGGCCGCTAAGGTTACCTGTGGGAGTTAGGATTAGGGATTAGGGTTTAGGGTTTAGGGTTTTTAGGATTAGGGGGGACATTTGGGGATATAGACCCTCTCAATGAGGCCCCGCTTCAGAGAGCCATAAGTAGGGCTAAGAAGGGTCCCCCTT